AAGCGGGCCTGACCTAGGGTGAGTTTTAAATAGGGACAATTTTTAACGATTTTAAAGAGCCACAGCTACCAATATTTGGGTTTTAATTGGTTTTTAGTAGGGGAAATTTTTTTTGTATGATGTTTTAATACGCTGTGAGCCGCCCTGAGTCCCATGGGGAGAAGGGCGGCATATAAATCCTGTTAAATAAATAAATAAAAATAAATAAATTCCCTCTTTTCCCATGGGTTAGCTACCCTTCTGATTGACTGTTTGGTCTCCAGAAAAGATCTCTATATTTCTCAATTTGCCCTGAAACCTCACGATAAGTAGACGAGAGAGCATAAGTGAAGAGGTCTAGCAAGGGAGCAGTTCGTTTGCCGGCATTAAATTTCAGTTAACCTTCTGCAAGAATGTCAGGCTGGCCTCCTGCAGGCAGATCCAATATTCAACACAGCATAGCAGCCATGCCTTTAAAAGCAGCCAGCCTGAAGCAGGTCAAAGTAGAGTCACTGCCATGTATTTAGCACCAGACAGGCTTCTAGGGGGGAAAAAATGCTTACTGGTTTTTTGCATTTTCCTCTCCTTTTAACAACTTCAACAGGGCGGGTGTAGTCTGAAGATGAAACAGTTCAGATTTCACCTAAGCCGTGGTTAGAAAAAGCTAGCCGTCTCACAAGATATAAACTAGTTTTTTTCCCCCAAAAAAACGTGATGCCCTGCAGAAATATAGGACTAATATTTCAGTTGCTATTTGTGTTGGTTGAAAGTTCATCCTGTTGGCAGCCTAACTGAGAGACAGCAGGACATCAAGTAATGGGTGGAAGCTTATTAAAGAGAGATCCAACCTGGAAGTAAGGAGCAATTTGCTGACAGTGAGAACAATTAATCAGTGGAACTGCTTGCCTCTTGGAGTTGAAGGTGTTCCATCCCTGGAGGATTTCAAAAATAGACCAGACAACCATTTGACTGGGATGGCGTAAGGCTCCTGCTTTGAGCAGGGGGTTGGACTAGAAGACCTCCAAGGTTCCTTCCAGCTCTATGATTCTATCTTCTAAAGCAGGGCTTTTCAACCTTTTCACCCATTGTACCACTTTTAGGATATGGCAACATCCGAGTACCACCAGTTGCCTAGCAAGGTTCAAAAATTTGATGACCAAAAAAAAAAGAGGAAAAAAGTGATAAAGTACAGGTAGTCCTCGACTTACAACAGTTCACTTAATGACTGTTTGAAGTTACAATGGCACTGAAAAAAGTGCCCCCCAAGCCACAACTGAGCAAGACACCTGCCAGCCCACCCGGCGGCGCTCTTCCTCCTGTCCGAGGTTTTCATTGTTGTGAGCATTTCTGTTGAGGATTGGCAGTGGGGGTGGGGTGGGGGGTGTTTGGTTTTTATTCCCCCTGTCTGCTGGGTGGTTGCAGCAGGTTTTGGTCACTTCACATGACCCTGGGACACTGTGACCGTCATAAATATGAATCAGTTGCCAAGCATCTGAATGTAAATCACAAGACCCTGGAGATGCTGCAACATTCCAGCTGATCGGCGCTTCTTCTGGGCTCAGCAGAAGCACCAGGATCA